GTTACTCTCGTTAGACTCTTAGGAGAGGTATACATCTCCTTAGAAACACAGCCTGTTTGACAGAAAAAGGGGGGATCCGAAGATCGCTTAAAACCCGATTTTCCCAGGAAATGGGAGGATCATGATAATCGCTTAAAACCCCATTTCCTTAGGCATGCATCACTTTAGAAAGAGTCTAACCATAGCACCACTCGCCAAACGTACTAAGATATTGTAATTGGAACTAAATTATACGGCTAATTACAAACTTACCAATCCACCACAAATTATCAGCAAGCTTCTTCCGCTTGAAATGATGGTTCCAGTTGCTCTTGAAGTGTCGTATGCACCACCTTTGGGACCACTTCCAGGCTGGATCTAAACCTAAGATGGCAGCTCTAATGCCGGCGTGCCGATCAGAGATTATTGTAAGGTTCGTTCTCCTAGTACAATGGATCTGAATTTGCCGGAAAAACCATCCATAGCTATCAGCATTCTCTCCCTCAACGATGGCGAAGGCTAAAGGAAAGACTTGTCTGTTTGCATCCGCCCCACTGGCAATCAGGAGAGTGCCCTTGTACTTGCCGGTAAGGAATGTTCCATCCACTTGGATGACAGGGACACAGAAGCCAAAACCATCAATACATGGCTTGAATGCCCAGAAAAGTTGTCTGAAATGGCGCTTGTTACCTGGCTCTGGGGGTTGTATCTCTTCATCTTGGTATCGAGGGGAGAAAACCGTGCCAGGGTTAGACGCCTCCAATGCCAAAATTAACCTGGGAAGGAATGCATATGATTCTTCCCAATCACCAAAGACGGCGGCCAGAGCTTTCTGCTTTCCATGCCACGCCTTCTTATAGTTAATCATATAACCATAACGACTTGCAATGTTAGCGATTATGACTTTCACCTTTAGGTCTGGCTCTTGCTCAATTAGATGCTTGATAGCCGCAGCAACCACCCTGGATTTCAACTGTCGATGTCCTTGGGAAGTTATGGATGACACACATGTGTGTGTGTTCACCGCACGAGATATGACCCAGCAACCGTGTCTCTTGCTGTTGATGGCCCGAATCCTAACATTGCACCCCTCGTGATGATTACGGCATCTGACTAAGAGCCTTTTAGTGTTGGAATGAGTTGTGAGCCATTCAAAATGCCGAGTCATTGCTTCTGTCTCAAGGGCGTGACGCACATCCTTCTTCGAGCCAAATTGTTGGCCCTTCATAAACCCAGTGAGTGGACCCCATATTGGGACCTCTGGCGGCTCCATGTCGCTGTCGACCATCCAATTATCGTCTGAAATGTGATTGTAGTAGGGGACTGGTACACGGTCACGAGCCCCCTCATCATCATTAGTTGAGTCTGACTCTGGTCCGGAATCATCGGCACCTTCAAGAGGGTCGGAGCTGTCTGCGCTGACGTTGTTCTCTCCTTCTTCATCGGAGGGGTCACTGACTAGTGCTGGCATGACATCCTCCATCTGATCCAGCTCATGAAAGGCACCTTCATCAGCTCCATAATGGTAGTTGTGAAAACTACCGCTGCCTGAGAGGAAGTTGTACTGAGGTTGGTTGGGCCGGTCTGGTTGAACTTCTTCTTCATATGATTGATGATGACCTTCACCTTGCTCTTGGTACTGAAAATATGAATGAGGATCATGGTAACTTTGGTAGGGATGATCGCCATATAATTCACCTCCACCATGGATACCAGATGTTTGACCGTGTCCAGAATGACCTCCAACGCCTACGACCGGCTCGGTGTAAACGAACATCTCGGCTTTGGAAAGATTGTTGGACCTCATGAATTTGAGCATGGCGTCTACCTCATCCTGAGTGGTTATGAGATATTCCTCATGCCACAATGACCCACTTTCTCTGTTTGGATATCGGTACACCATACGATCAACTTTTCTCGTGCCATCCATGCAAGTAACGTTAGTGCACATTTGATGGAGGTCTTCAAGCAGCGGTCTGGTAGCGACCTTTATCTTCTGAAAATTGCCACCTACGTAGGTGGCACCCTTTCCGGTCTCTTCCGTGTAACCATTCCACCGTAAGCCAAGCGTGAACTTTTGGAATGCCATCTGCGATAAAACCGTAGTTAAGTTAATATCATAAAAATAAAAAATAAAAATTAACAATAAAAAGTAATACTAAATCAACTTACGAGTTAACGTTAATCGCAAAACTACTAAAGAAATATGTAATACTAAATCAACTTACGAGTTAACGTTAATCGCAAAACTACTAAAGAAATATAGAGCTACAACAGAAAATTGAAAAGGGAAGGGAGAAGGAGAGGTGTGAAGAGAAATGGTTGTCCGGGAGGCCTTTTATAGGCAAAATCACTGATGAAAACCGCACCTTAGAGATGCGATTTTCGTCTGCCATGCAGACCCACGTCTGTAACGTCTGCATGGTATGTCGGAAATTGATTGACCAAAACCGCACCTTTAAGGTGCGGTTTGCATGTTAAAATCGCATCCTCATAGTGCGATTTTGTCTGGCAGAAACAAATCGCAACTCGGCCATGCGATTTTACTAGGTCAGACTTAAAATCGCTCCTTGGCCATGCGATTTCAGTAGGTCAGACCTAAAATCGCACCTCGGCCATGCGATTTTACTAGGTCAGACCTAAAATCGCTTGGCTAAAGTGCGATTTGAGTCCAGATTATTGGAACGCATCTTACCAGTGCGATCTATTTGTAAAACGCACTTGTAGGGTGCGATTTAAATGTAAAACGCATCTACAAGGTGCGTTCTATTCAAAATGGTGCTATTAGTGTAAATTTTTACGGATGGGTGCTATTTTTGTAATTTTTTTTTAAAGGTGCTATTTCTGGAAAAATCTCCGATTTCGATTCCAATAGATCGCGGGAAGGGTAGAAATTAGAAAATCGCCGTTAGATGGGTGAACGAGAGAGGTAAGAATTATGAATCGCAATTCGAGACATGGAAATTAATCTGGATTGAGACCGGGAATAAAATCAGAGGAAGGAAATGGTTGGGGTGAAGGTTTGCTTAGAAGGAGAGACGACGAAGGGGAAGAAGGAGAAAATTAATCATGGACAAGGGGATGGGAAGGTGAGGGAGAGTTTTTTTATTATTTTTTTTTTAATTTCTTTAATAAAGATTTTCATGTCAGCAGCCATGTCATTGCTTACTGTATTCTGTTATTACTAACGGAAAATTTAACGGTTAGTATACAATTGTCATATCGAAAGTTTCGTAATATAAATGACACTTTCGCTAAAGTTTGGTATTTCTAATGGTATTAGCCCTTTTAAATAATAGAGATCACGATTTGTATTTTTCTTCTTTGTCTTGGAACATGACTCTTCCTGCGCAATCTTCAAACTTACTCTTGCAGGCAATTCGAGGCTGAGAAAGTTTTCCCGGCACTCGTCGGTGATGATTTGCAGCTCCCTGAGTTCTACCGTTTCCATCAGACACTGAAAGGATGCGATTTGATCGCCGTTAGAAGCTGCCCGGAGCTGGAATCCAAATGGTTCAGTCTCCTCCAGGAAATCCACCAGAAGCCGGTGATCCCTGTGGGAGTGCTTCCCACTCCGGTCGAGCAGAAAGAGGCCGACACGACAGCTGGCAGACCTCCACGTGGATCAAAGAATGGTTGGACCGGCAAGAACCGGGCTCGGTCGTCTACGTGGCATTCGGGAGCGAAGCGAAACGAACTCAAGAAGAGCTGACGGAGATAGCATGGGGATTGGAGATGTCGGGCCTGCCGTTCTTCTGGGTGCTCCGAACCCGGCGGAGTCCCGACGACCCCGACGTGCTGGAACTGCCCGAAGGGTTCGAGGAGCGGACGCGTGGGCTTGGAGTGGTTTGGAAGGATTGGGCCCCGCAGGTGAAGATATTGGGCCACGACACGGTGGGCGGGTTCCTGACCCACGCCGGGTGGAGCTCGGTGGTGGAAGCCTGGAAGGGCTTCAGTTTGGGCGGACTTTGGTGTTCTTGACTTTTTACTCGGATCAGGGGCTTAATGCGAAGTTTCTTCTGGAGAAGGGGGTGGGTTACTTGGTTCCGAGGAATGAAGTTGACGGGCGATTTACGAGGGACTCGGTGGCCGACTCGCTGAGGGCGGCGATGGTGGGAGAAGAAGGAGAGAGTTACCGGGTCAAAGCAATTGAGATGAAGGACTTGTTTGGTGATAACGATAAACATGACGGTTACTTCCATGATTTCTTGGGATATCTTGAAGCCAACAAATTGGGTTGACAAGGCGAACTCGTCATCCAATGGAATAATAATTAATAAGTCCATATTTGAAGCCCAATGAATTATGATTTCTCTATTTGGGCCGGGTCATTTTGGGACTAGTAGATCATTTGATTTTAGGCTGTGATAATTCCGAAAAGTTCTACTAATTAAGCACAGCCAACCGAACCGAAATAATTGCGACTTTCCGCATAACACCACAACTTCATAATATTAAGTATTAACGAGCACTTCTACTATGCTATATAGCATCGGTGCTTTAATGTACAACTTAAAGTTGTACCATAACATTAAATGTATAAGTTTAGGTTGTACCATAAGGGAGTTTGTATCATTATGTTATGGTACAACTTTACAACTTGATGTTGTACCATCAAATAAAGGTACAAGTTCAAGTTGTACCATAAAAGAATTTATACAAAATGTATAGGTACAATTTGAAGTTGTACCATAACGTTAAAGGTACAATTTCAAGTTGTACCATAAAGCAAAAACCTATAGCACAAATACTATATAACATTGTAAAATTCCTCAATATTAATATGTGTGGGTGTAGAAATGCTCATAGTATCATACATAGTCCAATATATGATTTCAGGTGCATGCTAAAAAAAACATGAACACCAAAAGGAACAAAAAAATCTCTATTAGCCAAACAGTTGGCTAGAAAATGGCTCTTCCTAAAGACATGGGAGAGAGTATTAGCTAGTCCACTCCCTCTGGAGAAGGGCACGAAATTGGACAATGCTATTGTAGAGTCCACTGAAGGGCTGCCCTCTGATGTCCAAATTGTCGGACCAACTAAAGACCCTCAATGGTCCTTCGGAGCTTCGCGTGAGTAATGGAACAACTTTCCAGATTGGTGGTCTGGTGAAGGATCTCAGTAAGCTGACCCTATCAATCTCGCTCTGCTCCGCCGGGGTGCTGCTTGTCGAGTATATGAAAGACTTATTCGAATTGATTGTAATTGGACCGTGTGGTGCCGGTCTCCACCTCACATTGGTTGTGGTTATAGTATTCGACAAGATTTTGCTCCATGCAAGAGTCCTTTGACTTACTAGTGCATATTCATTATTCATGGCTTATAGATAAAGACTAATAATCCCATTATCCCTTAACGCATGGGTTAATGAATTCTTTTGTGACATGACCGTTGTATCATATGAACAACTGCAATTATTCAGTAAGCGCTTGTCCAATGGGGTCACAAATCACGTTTCCATGTCCATAATAATTGTTCAAATTGTCATCAAGTATAACAAATTTCTGTCCGTCGGCCGGCTACCACTTGCCACAACTAATATAATTGCCGAAAATAATTGTTTCATCCTTTCCTGATCTTCTCCCCAAAACCTTTCATGATCCCATCCATGGCCACCGCCGATCATCACCCCGACAAGCTCCACATCGCAATGTTCTGTTCCCATGGCTGGCCTTCGGCCACATGATGCCATGGCTTGAACTCGCCAAGCTCATATCCCAAAAGGGCCATTCCGTCTCCTTCATCTCCTCCCCGCGAAACATCGACCGCCTCACCCAAATCCCCACCTCTCTCTCTCCTTTCCTCCGGATCGTCAAGCTTCCGCTGTCGCCCGTCGACGGCCTTCCTCCGTCCGCCGAGGCCACCACCGACTTGCCTCCTAACCAAGTTCAGTACCTCAAGAAGTCCCTCGACCTGCTCCAGCAACCCGTGACCCAGCTCCTCGGGTCGCTCCGACCCGACTGGATCTTCTACGACTTCGCCTAGTACTGGACCGGGCCAATCGCGGCCCAGCTCGGAATCAAGAGCTCCTTCTTCTTTATCTGTCACAGTATAGAGTCGTGGGACTCAACAGAGAGACCATAAGTTCACGAAGCAACCAGCGAAGCCATGAGACCTCACTCACAGTAGTAGCCATTGAGCGATACTCTACTTCGGCTGATGATCGTGCCACCACGCTCTGCTTCTTGGTACGCTAGGAGATAGGAGCTGAACCTAAGTAGAGAAAATAACCGGTGGTAAAACGACGAGTATGCAAACAACTGCCCCAATCCATATCGCAAAAAGCCACCAACTCTAACGAGCCCTGAGCGGGAAGAAATAAGCTTGCTTGACCAGGAGCTTGTTTCAAATACATCAATGTCGGGATGAGTAACAGTCAAATACATCAAATGACCAAACCAAATGACGTTATGCCGAGACATCAATGGTGGGATCTAAATTGGGCATGGGCTTGGTTAGTTGATGATTTTGCTCCATGGGAAACTAACAAGTTTGAGGCCCCAGTCACACCGGCATCTGAAAGAATTTGAGAGCATACTTTCATTGACTAAGCATGATACCTTCCGAGGAACGGGAAACTTCTATGCCAAGAAAATACTACAACTACACTAAATCCTTGATGTTGAACTGAGAATGTAGAAAGTGCTTAACTCGATCAATGAATGGCCGATCATTGCCAGCTAAAACAATGTCATCTACATAAATCAATGTTGCAACAAACACAGTCCTGGTGTGATAGATGAACAAGGAGTGATCTGCATGAGAGTTAACAAATCCCAACTGAAGTAAAGCACCACTAAACTTGTTATACCAATTTCGAGAAGCTTGACGAAGTCCATAGAAAGACTTTCGAAGCCGACACACCCGGGTATCGCCTGGTTTACCAAAACCTGGAAGAATCTTCATGTAGACCTCCTTATCGAGATCACCGTGCAAAAAGGAATTGTTAACATCCAATTGCTCCGAAATCCAGCTGCGACGAGCCGCTACTGCGAGAAGACAGCAAACGGTGACTAACTTTGCTACGGGAGCAAAAGTGTCATGGAAATCGATCCCCTCATGTTGTGTGAAACCCTGAGTGACTAGACGAGCCTTGAACCGTTCAATTGTTACATCTGGGTTATATTTGATCTTGTAAACCCATTTTGAACCAATAGCATGCATCACATTCGGCAAATAAATTAGTTCCCATGTCCCATTGGCAACGAGTTCATTAAATTCTCGTTGCATGGCGGCGCGCCATCGTTCATCGCGAATAGCTTCATGGAAAAATCGTGGCTCAAAGTCTTTGGTAATAGATGCAAGAAAAACATAGTGAGTATGACATACGGTAGCGAATATGAGAAGCTATAGAAGGAGGCAAGTCCACGTCATAGCCTGCAAGGCGAGTAGACTGCTGCTGCACTCGATCAGTTTGACGGACAGGAGGAGGTAAATGGGAGTGCTGGTGATCTTTGCTGGACGTCCCTGCCGCATTATGTTGAGCATCAATAGTGTCTGTAAACAAAGAAGACCCAACAACATTAGTGGGAATAAACTCCTGCCCCAACGGACCACATTGCTAACGGATACAGAAGTGGGTTGTTAACCCACGTCTCTCTACCACTCTTTCCTCTGTTTCTGTTCCTGAACTTCAGCATACTACCGTTGCTATCTCCTCCTGTAAATCAGCACTTTGTTATTCCTTTGTACTATAAGTAGAGATGATCAATAATACCAACACAAGTTGTGCAGCATTCACATGGTATCAGAGCGATTAAAACTCAAACGAGTCTGATCCTTTTCTTTTTTTTTCTTTGACATCCCGCTGTCATGCCTACTGACTCTTCTGCTTCTTCCACCACCATCACCTCTTCCTCTTCTTCTCAATCCCTCACAATGTCTCTTCCATCCAACCCTCAGCTCACTGTCAAACTCTCCCCAACCAATTACTTACTCTGGATTACTCAACTCCTCCCCTTACTCCAATGCTTCCGTCTCATGGGGCATGTTGATGGCACATCCCCGGCGTCGCCTCAACAAATTGAAGGCCAGCCCAATCCTGCCTACTCTGCCTAGTATGAACTCGATCAGATGGTTCTCATGTGGATCTCTCTCTCCCTCTCTGAATCTGTCCTGCCCAACATCATCAACAAGAACACAGCTTCTGATGCCTGGTCGGCGCTCGAGCGCATCTATGCTTCGTGTTCCGCCGTTCAAATCCGACAGCTTCGCGGCTCGATTCACAAGCTAAATCGTGGCGACACCAAGATCCACGACTATCTTCAAGACGCCAAGAAGACGGCGGATCAGCTGGCGGCTCTTGGCTCTCCAGTTACCAATGACGAACTGATCACGGCTATCATGGATGGCCTCGGCGAAGATTATCGCCCCTTCACCAGACACATTAAAGCCCGTCATGAACCAATCTCCTTTGAAGACCTTCATTCTCTGTTGATCAGTGAAGAAATACAGCCTCACCGCTATCAGTCACACTCGGCATCCCCCTCTACTTTCATCTCTGGCCGGGGGTGTGGCGGTGGCTTCTCTAGCGGTCGGTATTCTCGCGGCGGTGGTATGAGCCGCTACTCCCAACCCTCGACATCTTATGCAGGTCTTCTGGGCCCCAGCCCGTCTCCGCCACAGCGTCCGGCCCATGTACCAGCCCGCTCTGGCCCTCCAGTGTGTCACAATTGCGGTGGCAAAGGCCACCTTCGAGCCTCCTATCCCAGCCCAACATATTCTTCCCCCGGCCCAACTGCTCAACTAGCCCACTCGCCTGGCCAGCCTTCTCACCCTCAGCAGTGGATTTTAGACTCCGGCACCAATTACCATCTCACCTCCTATTTGGATAATCTGGCTCATCATTCTGAGTACAATGGCACCGGTCACGTTATGTTTGGCAATGGTAAAACCCTTCCCATCTCTCACTCTGGTTCTTCTAGAACTTGTCTTTCTGATCAATCTATCTCTCTCGATAATATTCTTTGCGTGAAAAATGCCCCCTATAATCTTCTTTCCATCAGCTCCCTTACTCGTGCTAATCCAATTTCTATTGAATTTGTTGGTAATTTCTTTGTCATCTAGGATCGCTGCACCAACCATGAACTCCATCGCGGTTTTGCCATCAACGGTCTCTACTCTCTTCCACTGGAGATCGATCGGTGTCTTGCTCCTCAGACCTATCTCGCTTCGCTTGACGTTTGGCATCAACGGTTGGGACACGCCAATTTGCGTGCTGTCAAACATTTTCTTCATACCAATCAAATAAAGTTTGTGTCTAGTTCGCCCTCTCTTTGTTATGGTTGTTCAATTAGTAAGAGTCATAAATTACCATTTCTTCGTTCTTCATTTCGAGCCACCGCGCCATTGGAACTTGTTTGTAGTGACGTCTTGGGTCCCGCATCCATTATTTCCTATGATTCCCAATCTTATTACATTCTTTTTTATGACCACTATAGCAAATTCACGTGGATCTATTTCGTTCAATACAAATCCCAACTGTTGAGTGTCTTCATTCAATTCCGTCAGCTTGTAGAGAAATTTTTCGGCCTCCCTATCAAAACATTTCAGTCCGATTGGGGAGGCGAATACCAGGCACTCACTACATACCTTTCTTCTCATGGCATTGCTCATCGCTCTTCGTGTCCGTATACACCTGAACAAAACGGATGTGTTGAACGCAAACACTGTCCGTATACACCTGAACAAAACGGATGTGTTGAACGCAAACACCGTCACATTGTTGATAATGGTCTTGCTCTGTTGCATCATGCTAATACTCCTCAAAAATACTGGACCTTGGCCTTTGACACGTCCTGCTATCTCATCAATCGCACTCCCACCCCTCTTCTTCACAATGACACCCCGTTCTCTGTCCTCTTCAAACGCACTCCTGACATGACTCGCTTAAGGGTATTTGGCTGTCTTTGCTACCCTTGGCTCCGCCCTTACGCTCCTCACAAGCTAGCTCCTCGTTCTATACCTTGTATCTTTCTTGGCTATAGCAAACTTCACAAAGGATACCGTTGCCTACATATTCCTACTGGTCGAATCTATGTTAGCCGTCATGTACTCTTTGACGAAAATGTTTTCCCTTTTCGCCAACCACAATTCCCACCACCGGAGTCTCCCTCCACTGCTCTTCCACCTTTCAGCCAACTAATATCCCTTCCCCAACCCATTCCTCCCAACGGCCCACTACATACTCAATTCCCTGGGCCTCGGCCCACTACTCCAAACCTCCAGCCCACCCCTCCATCCCCTAATCACACCTCCCCTACTGAACCCGACCCCCATTCCCCTATTCCTGCCACCCAGCCCATATCGCCCTCTCCTACCACCCTCTCCCCCACTAGGCCTAGGCCCACCACTCCCTTCCCTACAACCCATCCCCCTACAATCCCCGAGCCTCCCATCCAAACCGTGCCGCATCGCAACCCACCGCCCCTTCCACCTCTGCTTCTATTACTCCGACCGCCACCACCAAATTACCCCCACCCATCCCTCTTACCCCACGACCTCGCTTTACGACTTCCCCTCACCCTTTGCCTCGCCCTCTTCGCAGCCCCATTATCACCCGAACTAAAACAGGCAAACTAAAACCAAAAACCTTTGCTGCCGCAATCGAGGACGAACCCACCACTGTCGCCCAAGCTCTCCAAGATCCACTGTGGAATGCCGCCATGCGTCAAGAACGTGATGCTCTTCTCCGCAACAAGACCTGGGATCTCGTACCCAGACCTCCAAATTGCAACCTCATCACCAACAAATGGATCCGGCGCAACAAACTAAATCCAGATGGCACGCTTGAACGGCGCAAAGCGCGTCTTGTAGCTCGAGGTTTTCAGCAGATATAGGGCCGTGATTTTACACACATGTACAGTCCGGTATTGAAACCGGCTACTCTTCGTCTGGTGTTGGGCATCGCAGTCACCAATGGGTGGCCTCTTCACCAAATGGACATCTCCAACGCCTTTCTCCACGGCGGATTGACCGACGAAGTATACATGGCCCAACCTGCTGGGTTCACCGATCCCGACTACCCAGATCATGTCTGCCGCCTCAACAAATCCATCTACGGGCTCCGACAGGCCCCCCGCAGTTGGTTTCAATGTCTTGCTCGTGCTCTTCACACCTTCTGCCTTACTGCATCCAAAACAGACCCCTGTCTCTTCATCTGCACCTCCGGCGACTCTTACCTTTACATGCTTGTGTATGTTGATGATATTGTCATTACAGGTTCAGACCAAGCTCTCCTTAACCGGCTGCTGGCTCATCTCCATCACCACTTTGCTCTTCGTGACCTCGGTCCCCTGACCTACTTCCTCGGCATTCAAGTTGTCCGCCACTCCAACGGGATCACCCTCAGCCAGCGGAAGTTCATCCTTGAGCTACTACAACATGCCCATATGGAGAATGCAAAACCGATCTCGACACCATCCAATGCTGACATTGTCACAAACAGTGCCCTTGATTCGTCGCCCAAATTTGCCGATCCCGGTCTGTATCGAGGCATTGTCGATGGACTTCAGTACCTCAGCTTCACCCGCCCGGACATCTCATTCGCCGTCAATCAAGTCTCCCAATATCAACATGATCCCACCGACACCAACTGGGTTGCAGTCAAGCGTATTCTTCGCTACCTCAAAGGCACCCTCAATCAAGGTCTCTGCATCAGCCGCTCCACCTCTTCCGCCATCCACGGCTACTCCGATGCATCTTGGGCGTCCTGTCCACAGGATCGCAAATCAATCACAGGCTTTGCAGTATTCTACGGCACTAACCTCATCTCCTGGTCCACTCGCAAACAACAATCCGTTGCCCGATCGTCCACGGAGTGTGAATACCGGGCTCTTGCCACCGTTGCCTCTGAGGTCATCTGGCTATAATCCCTCCTCATAGAACTTGGGCAACCTCTTCTCAAGTCTCCAATTCGATGGTGCGACAACCTTGACATCACTTTTCTCGCCCACAATCCGGTCTTCCATCATCGTTCCAAACACATGGAGATCTAATTTCACTTTGTCCGCGATCGGGTCCACAAGCAACAACTGCGGGTACACTATCTTCCAGCTCAATACCAAATCGCCGATGTTCTCACCAAACCACTACCTCGTGCATCCTTCCTCCGATTCTGTGACAAGTTCCGCCTTTCCTCGGCTTCACTTGCGGGGGCGTGCTAACGGATACAGAAGTGGGTTGTTAACCCACGTCTCTCTACCACTCTTTCCTCTGTTTATGTTCCTGAACTTCAGCATACTACCGTTGCTATCTCCTCTTGTAAATCAGCACTTTGTTATTCCTTTGTACTATAAGTAGAGATGATCAATAATACCAACACAAGTTGTGCAGCATTCACACACATAACCCATCTTCAATGTCAGCCACTTCATCATCTCTGTCATATGTCACTTGCATGTGATGCATGGGCATCCGAGGTGTAGGGGACGACATAAGGAAAGACTGTCTCAACAAAAAAATGTCACGAGACGTATAAATTTTTCGGCTTTGCAAGTCATAAACCCGGTAACCCTTCTGTTGTGTAAGCTAAATAATGAGATCCGGTCACCGTTAACCAATTTTCCGGCTTTGCAAGTCATCATCTCTGTCATATGTCCCTTAAAATGTAAGCTTTAAATAATGAGATCCGGTCACCGTTAACCAATTCTCCATTGACTCCGGCTTTAACTAATGCAATGCAAGCTGCATGACTTTGATTTTTTGGAATGCTCCGGCGAGTCATTGCTATATGCTACGCCGAGGACTATAGTACCATTGCGGTACTGATGTTGTTAACCTTAGATCGTTGGATCTTTGAGATTTAAGTTGAGACGACAATTTTGTCCAAACCCATTGGTATTTATATATTAAATTAATTGAGTTGGGTATAAAATCCAAATATAAGATAAATTGGTAGAGTTTAATGGTTTATACCTATACACATCCACAATCTATAGTTTGACACATAAACTTAATAAATTTTAAGATTAAACATATAATTTAATTCATGTTCGGCTCGTATATAAACGAGCCGAGCTCGAGCCCAGCTCATTTATTAAATATTGACACATCGTTAAGATCGAAAGTTCGGCTCGAGCTCAACTCTAAGATAATTTATAATATAAATACCCTAATATTTATATGTCATATATGATACAAGTGATTACCTAATGTTATGTCATATATGAGACGTATTTGCTTACATATACTCAATGTATTAAACACCATATGAGGTGATATATACAATTTAATAATTATATGTATCATTAACAAACCAACTCATAAAATATAGATTGATTTTCTCATAAACTGTAGTCGAGTTAGCTCTCTAGTCACAATGTTGGGACATCTCATAAGCTCAAAACGAGACAATTCATGAGTTGTATTAAACGAGTCACCTAATCGAGCTCGTTCACGAGCTTCATGAGCCAAACAAGATAGAGCTCAAGCTCGGATCGTTTATTAACGAGCCGAGATTTTTTTTAATTGAACGAGCTTTTATCGAGTTCGAAACTGAGCCGCTCACGAATAGCTCGGCTCATTAACAGCCCTAGTTATAGTATTGCAAATGAGCTACAAGAACATTAAAACACCACTTGCGCTCCTCATCGATGCTCAACCTCAAGGCAACCTCCCAAGAAACACAGAGAACAATCCAAAAAAGGAAGAAGTCAAAGTCATTTTGACAAGTATGGGAGCAACCAAAAGCTTCTGGAGCATTAAAAAGGAAGAAGAGAAGAAAGGAGGAGAGTGTCCATCCCTTTTCAGAAATCTGATAAAAGCTTTTGGAGGAGTAGAAGTGGCAGTACCAATATTAGAAAAGATTATTTCAATGGAAGATCTTAAAGGGAAGCTCGAGATTTTCATGGAAGAAGATGAAAGAGTCAAAGATAAGGAGACCATGATTAAGAAAACCCCATGGAGTTACAAAGAATTTGTCCTAGTCATTGAAGCAAAGGAGGATCTCGGCATTGCATCATCAAATGTCTTTTGGATGACCATCACTTGGAAAAGGTATTGTTGACATTGGCTCAAGCGTAAACATACTACCACTTCATCTATATTAAGAAATGAGACACTACAAGGAAAAAGGTGTTTAGTGTCGGTTGTGTCGTGTCAGTTAAGTGAATGGATTCGTATCGAAATTTTTTGTCGGTTAAGCAACCAACACAGTTTCTTGGTTATTTGTGTCGGTTCTAACCGACACAAAGTTTTGAATTATGTCGGTTACTACAACCGACACAAAATTAAATTATATTTTTTAGAATTTCAATTTTGATTCATCTGTGTCATACTGTCAGTTCTGACCGACACAAATTGTTGAATTGTGTTGGTTACAAGTTACAACCAACACAAAAATGGAAATTATTTTGGAAGGGGGTTGGCGGTCAAATTTTTCAACACCCCCATTCAAAAATGAAAATTTTCAGTCTCTCCGCAAAATAATATCTTTCATCTTCCTTTCCTTAACTTTCTCTTTCCCTCGCATATTTTCATTTTTTTCCAAATTCCAATCCGTCTCTCTTTCTTATACAGATGGAAACCTCCCCTTCATTCTTTCTTTCAACTTCCCTTCCTTATCCTTACCCTCTCAAGAACAACGAACCACATAACAAATCTGCGACGGGATACGGTGACAACCCCCTTGGGGGTTGTCAGATTCACAACCAAGGGTATTTTGGGTATGAAAAAAAGGAATATATTAATTACCTTTTTGTATTAATTACCTTTTTGTATTAATTATATTGGGAATTAAAAACCCATATTAAATACAATATTTTTCTGAAAATTAAATCCTATTCATTAATATCTCTATCTATCTATCTCTCTCTCTCTTCCTTTCTCCAGCAGCCACTCCGCATCGACCGACAAACTTTTTCTCCGGCGAATTTTCTCCGGCAGACTCCCTCCGGCAACCTGAAAAAATGTACCAATGCGTTAAAAAGTGTACCAATCTATTAGTCTACTGGTAATTAATATACCAGTGTTATTGGTACGCTACCAGTACGTTAAAAAATGTACCAGTACTAGCGGTACCAGTAAAAAATGTACCAATACTAGTGGTACGCTAGTAGAAAATAACACAACGCTACTAGCACTGGTAGCGATACCACTAGCATTGGTAGCGGTACCAGTAGCGAATAACACAAAAAAAACAGATGATAGTGGTACCAGATGATAGGGGAGCCACTGGTATTGGTACCAGTGAGTAGTGGTAGCGTACCAATAGCGCTACCAGTGGTATTGGTACCAATAGTGCTACCAGTGGTATTGGTACCGGTAGAGACTATCAGATCTGGAAAAAAAATAGGCGGCGACATAAAAATGGTGGCGGCAGGGGAGGACAGCGGCACGGCCGTTTCCTTGTCGGCGCCGGGGGGGGAGGGGGGGAGGGGTACAGCCGCTTCTCCTTGAGGAAGGGGATTGAGGGAGGATCAATGAGGAGATGTGGTGGTTGGCGGTGGGAGGAGGAAGGGGCTTTGAGGAAGGGGTGGCGATGGGAGGAGGAAGGGGAGGGCTTTGAGGAAGGGGATTGGTGGTGGGTGGGGTGCCGGGGGTGGAGGAGAAAGGGAGCTTGGCCGGCGGTGAAGGTGGAGGGAGGGAGGGTGTCGGCGGACGGTGATGTTTACGGGAGAGAAGGAGGAGAGAGAGAGGGAGGATGAAGGAGTTAGGGTTTTTGTTCTTCTTATATGGTAGGGTTAATGATTGGGTGTGGTAAATTTTTACCCTTCCCAAAATATCCTTCATTTAATCTTAACTGTTAATTTAAAAAAAGAAGAAAGAGACAAGAGAGAGAGCGTATCTAAGGGCTATGAAGTGGGTTGTGAATCTGACAACCCCCTTAGGGGTTGTCACCGTATCTCGTCCCAACAAATCTTCTTCCCTTCTTCTTCCTCCGCCCTTTCCCCAATCCCTGACCAACCGCCGTCGATGAGTATGACGAGCTGGTGATTGTTGACAAAGCTCCCCGCGAACTCGCCGCCTCTGCACCCAAAGTCCCAAACCCTCTATTACGCAATCCGCAATTTCCCTCCACTGCTTGCATGTGTTTTTTTGGGGGGTTTCCAATTGAGAGGAAGAGGATCAAACATCGACGACTTTTGGGGCTTCCAATCAAAGGGAAGAGCAGAAGAAAACATCGACAACTTTTGGCCCTTTCAAATCTGGGTTTGGGGAGGAGAAGAAGTAAACAACGATGATTTTCTGACTTCGGTTAGTTTTGATTGCTGGGTTTTGGGGTTGCTTTGCTGCGTTTTGGGGTTGCTTTGCTGGGTTGGTTGACTTTCTATGCTTTGATGCTATGCAGAGCTAGCAACCACAAGAAAGCAAAAGATCGCCTTGAAGCATCGGCGGTCAACTCCAAGGGAGGTGGCTCGACCTATAGGCGGGAGAGGGGAGAGATTTGGCGACAATCTGGAGGGACATCTGACCTGGGTTCCTCGCCGTCAGAGTATTCTCCAAATCCTCATGGTCAGATCACCGCGCGAATAGTAGTTGCGGGTCAGGGTAGCCACACAGTAGTGGAGAGAACGAGGAAGTTGAATCGTCGATGGGGGTTGTGATTGAATGGAGTTGTTAACATGTCCATGTAGAGATCACGCTAGCCAACAACATTCCTTGCAGAGTTCTTGGAATTGTTAAAGGCTTAAGCACCCAAATTGGCGCTGCTCATTTTCTACCTGATTACTTCGTGTTTGACATAGAGATAAGCTAAGAGTATTCAATCCTCTTTGGAAGGTCATTCCTTGCACGAATGGAACAAGAATTGATGGTGTCAAAGGGAGAAGTAACTTTACATTTGGGAAACCTACTGTACAAAGTGGAGAAGCCAATCAAAAGATGTGATAAACTCAAGGAGTATGTAGAGGAGGATTCAAAAAATAGATCAAATTTTTATTTGGTTCTCTATTAAAGGATTCGGCAAACATAATATTACATCATAATGATCAAAACCCGAATGAGGTTCTGCCAATTCCTGATTTGAAGCTAGCTCGAATGGCACTTGGTATAGAACCTATAAAAGCTCCCATTTTGGCCACCATCACCTCACAACCCCTCATATTTAATTTCATTCCACTCTCTTGGCCAAAAATCATCTCCCTTTTCTCTAGGTTTCAAAATTTCTCTCAAAATTTTCAATTTTCAATCACAAAAAACTCAGGAGGGCATTGATTACCAGGACACATTTGTCCCAGTGGTCAAAATGACCACAGTGAGACTCTTTCTAGCCATAGCAGCTGCAAAATCATGGCATGTTCACCAACTTGATGTGAACAATGTCTTTCTACATGGAGACCTCACTGAAAAAGTGTACATGAAACTTCCTAAAGGCTACACACCTCCACCTCACATCAAGAATCCAGTCTGCAGACTCAAGAAATCACTCTATGGCCTTAAGCAGGCTTCAAGGCAATGGTTTTCAAAACTTGCCGACAACTTTACAAGCCATGGCTACACTCCCAGCCAAGTTGATCACTCTCTATTCTTCAAGTCCACAGGTTCTCATTTTACATGTGTCTTAGTGTATGTTGATGACCTGGTGGTTGGTGGTACTGACTTGGAAGAAATATCTCAACTTAAGCAATTTCTTCACACAACATTCAGCATCAAAGACCTTGGCCCCCTCAAATTCTTCCTTGGCATTGAAGTTGCCAGGAATTCCACAGGAATACATCTATCACAAAGAAAGTACACCCTCGAGATACTTGAAGAAGGAGAAATGTTACTTTCCAAACCAGTTTCAACTTCTATGGACTACAAGCTCCACCTGACTGCAAATCACTCATATCCATATCCAGACCATTAATACTACGGACGAATTGTTGGCAAACTCATATACCTCACCACCACCAGACCTGATATCAGTTTTGCTACCCAGCAGGTTAGCCAATACATATCTAATCCCAGCATTCAACATTACCAAGCAGTCAGCAGGATCCTAATATACCTCAAGTCGGCCCCTTCAACTGGTCTTTTCTTCCCATCTTCTTCTGATCTTCACCTCAAGTCTTTCAGCGACTCAGACTGGGCAGCTTGTATGGACACTCGTCGATCTATGACAGGCTATTGCATCTATCTGGGTTCTTCCCTTGTGTCCTGGCGCAGCAAAAAGCAAAAGACCATCTCAAGATCCTCTTGTGAGGCAGAGTATATAGACATGGCAGATACTACATGTGAACTCCAGTGGCTCCTTTACCTTCTCAAAGACTTCCAGGTTCCCCACTCTCAACCTGCAATACTCTATTGCGACAACCAATCAGCCATTCATATTGCAGGATACCCAACATTCCATGAGCGGACGAAGCATATCGAAATCGATTGCCACCTCGTCCGTGAGAAATTGCAGAGTGCCACCATCAAGCTACTCCACGTTTCATCACTCCATCAGCTAGCCGACCTTTTCACAAAGGCTCTCCCACCAGCAACATTCTCCACTCTCCTCTCCAAGCTTGGTGTGCATAATCTATGCCCACCAGCTTGCGGGGGGTATCAGATCAAAATTCCCAAATTTTGATTTCAAATGCAATGGCTATTCCCTCGGCTAGCTAGTCCGACATCGTTTCAGGAAAGGCGAGAAGTGCTCCAAGAGGAACGACGCTGTCTCAAGACAAAGGGAAGGGCAAGCTCAATACGTTGCCGTTGTGACTCAGTGACATAGTGTCACTTTCGTTCCCCTGTACTTTGTTCTTCATAATTTTGTTTTCTCTTTTCCTTTACTGCATTTCGACAGCTCACTGAAGCTTGTCTTCTCACTTTGATCCTTGTATAAAAGACATGAGATTAGGGGTGACATTTCGGTTATTTCGGTTATAATCGATAACCGATCGGTCGGTTATCGGTTAACCGAAATAACCACTCCCCCTACCGAAAACCACCCGAAATAGACTTCGGTTTCTCGGTTATCTCGGTTATCGGTTATCTCAATTATCGGTTTAACCGACCGGTTAACCGGTAATCGGTAACCGAACTGCCATTCCTCGATGAAATGATGAATGAGAAGTTAAGTTAGGGTTTGATATTCCACACTTGGTGTTAGTGTTAGTGGCTCTTAGTTGGTGTGCCAAACCTTTTCCAACCGAATAAATGCGATGCGAGAAGTGGGAATCATTTTCCGAATGCATTATGCATTGCCTTTATCATATATATTATATACTTCATATTCATAATACTATTCACTACTCTCCCTTTCCCTGAACCCACTACCTCGACGCTCCACACGTTTTCCATCGCACCTGAGCTTCCTACTATGGCCGGCGGCGAAGGCGACACAAAGCTCCTTCACATCGCCATGTTCCCATGGCTAGCCTTCGGCCACATCCTCCCTTTCCTCCAACTCTCCAAGATCATGGCCAAAAAGGGACACAAGATCTCATTCGTCTCCACTCCGCGCAACATCGATCGCCTTCCCCAACTCCCTCCACCCTTCACCTCTCTCATCACCTTCGTCAAGCTTCCCCTGCCTCCCGTCGACGGCCTCCCGACCACCGCCGAGGCAACTTCCGATCTTGAAATCAATGACGTCAGCTACCTGAAAAGAGCTTACGACCTTCTTCAGCTACCGCTGGCTGGCTTCCTCCGATCTTCCCGCCCAGACTGGATTCTCTTCGACTATGTTCCCTTCTGGCTGCCCGGAGTTGCTCGTGAACTGGGGATTCCGACCGCTTACTTCAGCATATTCCTCGCCGGCGTGTTGGGGTTCGTCAGCCCGCCGTCGGATGAAGAGGAGGATTACAGGAAAACCGTGGAGGAGTTTATGGTCAAGCCGAAGTGGGTCCCGTTCGAATCCGACGTCGCATACAGGTATGGAAAAGATTAATTTATAGCAACACAACTTATTTAATTTCCCTGCATTAAAGGCTAGGTACAAAAGACTCTTCCTGCGCAATCTTCAAACTTACTCTTGCAGGCAATTCGAGGCTGAGAAAGTTTTCCCGGCACTCGTCGGTGATGATTTGCAGCTCCCTGAGTTCTACCGCTTCCATCAGACACTGAAACGATGCGATTTGATCGCCGTTAGAAGCTGCCCGGAGCTCGAATCCAAATGGTTCGATCTCCTCCAGGAAATCCACCAGAAGCCGGTGATCCCCGTGGGAGTGCTTCCCACTCCGGTCGAGCAGAAAGAGGCCGACAGCTGGCAGACCTCCACGTGGATCAAAGAATGGTTGGACTGGCAAGAACCGGGCTCGGTCGTCTACGTGGCATTCGGGAGCGAAGCGAAACGAACTCAAGAAGAGCTGACGGAGATAGCATGGGGATTGGAGATGTCGGGCCTGCCGTTCTTCTGGGTGCTCCGAACCCGGCGGAGTCCCGACGACCCGGACGTGCTGGAGCTGCCCGAAGGGTTCGAGGACAGGACGAGTGGGCTTGGAGTGGTCTGGAAGGATTGGGCCCCGCAGGTGAAGATTTTGGGCCACGACTCGGTGGGCGGTTTTCTGGCCCACTCCGGGTGGAGCTCGGTGGTGGAAGGGCTTCAGTTTGGGCGGACTCTGGTGTTCTTGACTTTTTACGCGGATCAGGGGCTTAATGCGAAGCTGCTTCAGGAGAAGGGCGTGGGTTACTTGGTCCCGAGGAATGAAGTTGACGGACGGTTTACGAGGGACTCGGTGGCCGACTCGCTGAGGGCGGCGATGGTGGGAGAGGAAGGAGCGAGTTACCGGGTCAAAGCAATGGAGATGAAGGAGTTGTTTGGTGATAACGAGAAACATGAAGGTTACGTCCATGATTTCTTGGGGTATCTTCAAGCTAATAAATTGCGTTGACAAGGCAAACTCGGCATCCGATAGAATCATAAGTGCATATTTAAAGCCCAATGAATTATGATATCTCTTTGGGCTTGGTCATTTTGGGACAAGCGGATCATTTGATTTTTTGGCTATGGTACTTCCGAAAAGTTCTAGTAAGCACAACCAATCGAACTGAAATAAAAGTAACATTGCTTTAATTGTAAACGAGTGCGTAGCACTACTACCTCATAATATTAACATGTATGAGGTGTAGAAACTCCTATAATGTCATACATAATTCAGGATATGATCTCTGGATCATGCTCGGACACAACATGAACACCAAAAGGAACAGAAAAATTTCAATTAGCCAGACAATTGGCTAGAAAATTGCTCTCCCTAAACACATGAGAGAGAGTAATAGTCCAATCTCTCCTAAGAAGGGCACAAAACTAGACAATGTTGTTGTGGAGTTCATCAAAAGGGCTACCCGTCGATGTCCAAACTGTCAGGCCAACTAGAGACCCTCAATGGCCCCTCAGAGCTCCGTAGGAGTGATGGACCAACTTCCCAAATTGGTGGTGAAGGATCTCAGTAAGCGACCCTGCCAATCTCGCACCGCTCCCCTAGCTTCTGCTTGCCGAGTCGATGGTATATGTAGGACACATCCGAATTGATTGTAACCTAACAGTGTAGTGATAATCTCCACCCTACATCCATGTTTCGACGTGGCACCACGGTCCCAAGTCCTAGTTGATTTGGTGCGGTGATAGTATCACATACGATTTTGCTCTGGGCAAGAGTTTTTTTAACTTACAAGTACATATTTATTATTCATGGCTAATATATAATGACTAATAATTATTACAAAATTTATAAGCATAAGGGACAAACATAGGGGAAACTCATTTTATTCCATCTTCGATAATACCGTTTTAATTTGGTTTTTTTTTTGGTGAGAGCCGTTTTAATTGGTTTTAGCGACAAACCGATAAAATTGTCTCCAATAATTGAGAATTAAATATTTAATTGATTTGGGATTTATCAAATTTTTAAAAAGGTAGTTTGACTTTTTTGTTTATCTAACAATCCGCAAGTCATTTACTGTGGCCTCATCTTCACTGTGTAATCTTCCATAAGATCTCAATCATTTATTCCCTTGATATAATTTGCAAAACCCTACTTCTATCTATTCCATCATTCCATTTCAGTCGGCCAAATGCCCTCCTCTTTCTAACTTCTTTCTCTTCTCAATATTGTTGGCCTCACCCTTCTTTACATATTGCAGATGTCGTCGGTTCCTTTTCCTTCTCTCCTTCATGCTCCAAGTTAGCTTCTCCTTCTCATATCATAGTAGTCATTAGCGTTCCCTTCCTTTGAGCCGACTAAGGTACGAATTCAAATATATTTCGTTTTTATTTGGATTATAATTTAGTATATTGTAAGTTTCTATTGTACAAGCTCGTGAATTTGTTGTTTGGTATATGTTAAATATATCTTTTCCAGGCTTCTGACGTTTTTTTTAAATACAATTTAATATCCAAATCTTTCATTTTAAAAAATATAATAGCCAAATCTTTTCGAAAACAATCTAATATCCAAATCGTCAACTTCCGTTCGTTTGACCGTTAGTTGACACTTCAAAAAAGTTCGAAGTACGACGCTTCATCAATATCCATCTATATCTTCTCTGAAAAACCACCAATATATCATGGTTCCAAACCCGAGAAGTCCATGACTCCACCATGATGGTATAGAATATCTAAATATTCAGTCATCTACAATGCCAAAATAAGAAAACAAAGTTGTATTGTGACAATTTCCCCTAAACAAAGCTTTTTTGAAGTGTCAACTAACAGTCAAACGGACGGAAAGTTGACGATTTGGATATTAGATTGTTTTCGAAAAGGTTTGGCTATTATATTGTTTAAAATGAAAGGTTTGGATATTAAATTATATTTTTTTTATCTCTCGAACTAGCAATTGGTGATGGCGGTGATGTAGGCACGGCATAAGGAAAAGAGAGAGCAAGTGAAGCGATGGTGATTAACCACCGAGGTCTAGCACTCTTGTTAGCTAGTTTTCGTTGTCGTAGTTTTGTGTATGTTTTGTCCAATTTGTTTTTCTTTTTCATTATGTGTATAGTTTATGCAATTTCCATATTGTACTTTATTTATGTAAGGGTACATTTTTTTTACTCCAGAAATGAATGACAATTAAATTGCTACCTCAGTTTTTCAATTAAAAATATGCCAAAGATTGGAAAACTCATTGCCAACATTAAAGCCCACGAGCTACATCAACTTGTTGTCTACAAAATTTCTCGTAGGAGATGACTTGTTGTCCCAAAAAATAGTTGTTAAGAGACGACTGACTGTCTCGAAAAATATCACATAAGGAACAACTTGTTGTTTCGAAAGATAGTTCTTTATAAACGACTTGTCGTCTCGAAAGCACTGCATTAGAGATGACCATGTGTTTTTAAAGATAGCTTTTAACAACGCGTAGTGTCTCGAAAACCCATCATAAGGGAGGACTTATTGTCTCCAAAATACTTCATAGGGAACGACTTACTGTCCATAACACAATTCACAGGAGATGACTTATGGTCTCCAATAACACTGCATAGGGGATGGCATATTGTCCTAAAATCATAGAAAATATAAAATAAATTAATTAGAATTTTTGGAGTTTTGAATACGACTATGTGACCCTAATATTGGGGACGACTTTCATTTTTTGTTCCCAAAAGAATAGAGGGCGGAACCTATAAGCGCCACCCGTGGGGACGAAATTTGTCGTCTCCTAAAGATTTGGAGACGAAAAACCCATGTTTAGGAGGCAACATTTTTTGTCTCCAATACTCACCAATTTTGTATAATCTCATTATTCCTTAACGTCTGGTTAATGAATTTGTTTGTGACATGACCCTTGTATCATGCGCACTTTGCAACCAGAGTGGTAGCAAATCTGAGACCAATCCCACTTAGGAAGCTGGCCAACTTGGCTCTTCCCTCTCTCATTCACTTTACTAATCATCAAGTATAAAAAAATAGTTTTCGATTTAGAAGTATCATTGCTACTTGCTTAAGGGGAACCGGTAAGGTCAGTAACTTTATGTGAGTAATCATGAGTAACCCGTTCATATCAGCATGATATCAACATCTCTCTCTTGGAAAGTCTTTAATTTTTCCTCCTTAATCTTTGACGGACGATTTCTCACTCATTTTAAGTCAATTTTTTTTGCCTAGTTAGATCAGATTATTTATGCTCTTCAAAATGATATCCACTTTGATATATTTTTTGAACAAAAAAAAATTGAGCCATTTTTTACTAGTCTATACCATATGGTATTGACTAGTATTGAAATAAGAGCATACATATGGTTTGAAAAGCGTACCATGGTGGTATGAACAAACCAAGACTGTAGGATGGTTGAATACATGATAGTAGAAGTATATTAACTGTCATTTACGACTTTTAACATTGTGTACCACAAGATACTAGGGGTGGGCAACGGGAAACGGGTATTTGGGTATACCCGTACCCGTCCCGTTTTTTAAGGGTTACGGGTACCCATATTACCCATAATATTATAAACGGATGGGACTTGGGATTGTACATTCCTAATATGGGTACCCGCGGGTTACTCGAAAATACCCGTTTGGGTAATGTGGGTACCCGTTTTACCCATTTGCGAACTCTAATCCATAGAAAGGGAATGTCCACTTCGCCACAAAGATGAAACTTTTCTTAGTAAAGAAACAAAGAACGCTATGTGAACATAATACTTGTAGTCTACACTCTGCAGTGACATGCAACCTAAACTCACCCCTGTCCAAGAAGTACCATAGATTATTTTCATAGTTCAAAGTAGTCATCAATCGCTAAAGGAACCTCAGCGGTGTATGATTCCTTAACATTGAAATTATCAGTTACATTTTTCCTTCTACCCTGCTGAGTGCTGACAATAGCTGAATGCATGCAGGTTACCCTGTATACCACTCAATGTATGATGACTTTGTCTAGATGGAGAAGTTTGGTGACCCTAATTTTCGCAGGCACATCGTTGTGATTGTTCATGATTTGTGTTGAATGAAACTTCTTATTTGATAATTTGGTGCTTCGAATGATTTATTTCTATGCGTTGTGATTGTTCATGATTTGTGTCTTGTGATTGTTAAGCAAGTACAAGTTAAGTTTAAACTTTTGTTAAAATTTGAGTGGTTTAAACTTTGGGTATTTATGGGTAGTATGGGTACCCGTTATCCGTCCCGTACGGGTAATGGGTACCCGTTTCCCATATGGGTTTGGGATATGGGATGGACTTTGGCCTCCAAATGGGACTGGGTACCCGTTTAAAACGGAACGGGTATCCCGTCCCGTCCCGTTGCCCACCCCTACAAGATACCACCCCGTACCAGGGTGGTATTGTTTGGTATTTTTTAGTCCTGTAATTTGTTCACCCAGAAATTTGTAGATCCAATAGATCATGATGAACTCGTTCCTTCTGTGCAAACGTTTTCAAAAACGAATTAAAAACGAAGAAGATACCATATGGTATGCAGTTGGTATCGAGAGGCAAGAATTTTTTTTTCTATAAAAATATTGAAAGTGGATCTCATTTTGTAGAGTACAACGAACTCGTTCCATCAGTGAAAAAAATTAAAATCTGAGTTAAATTGAAGAAGATATGAGTCGATTAAAAAAGCTATTGAAAATAAAAATGACTTTTAATTCTCCATCCTTATATCTTGATTTTCTAAATGAAGGGTCCAGATTTAGTTATTGATGGGTGTAGAAACCCATGGTTATGCACCCTATCCTGAACCGTGATTAAGGGTCAACTTAATCGGGACATTCACTACCAAAAATATATCGTTGGATTAATGTGTTTGATCAATGAACAGTCAAAATTAGATTGTACCCATGTATTAAATCTTAGATAATTCTACTTCATTATCATCCACAACATCAACCATTTTGTTAAATTAAGTATAATGTAATCTGTCTTTTCTTTAATACGACGAAGCACAATTATTCAACAATTAATCGCTTTGTCTAATTTGCAAAAAAAAAATCGCTTTTTCTAATGGGGTCACAAAGCACGTTTCCTTGTCCATAATAATTGTTCAAATTGTCATATCAAGTATCACAAATTTCTGTCCGCCGACCGGCTACCACTTGCCACATACATTATTAACTTCTTATCACTGTTCCTTTTGGAGTATTTGTTAGTGGGAGCTAAATGCTAATCCCCACAGAAATATAATTACCCACAAAAATTGTTCCATCATCTCAATTAACCTTTCATGATTCCATCCATGGCCGCCGCCGATCACCACGACGATAAGCTCCACATCGCCATGTTCCCATGGCTGGCCATCGGCCACATGATGCCGTGGGTCGAACTCGTCAAGCTCATAGCCCAAAAGGGCCATTCCGTCTCCTTCATCTCCTCCCCGCGAAACATCGACCGCCTCCCCCAAATCCCCACCTCACTCTCACCTTTCCTCCGGTTCGTCAAGCTTCCGCTGCCGCCAGTCGACGGTCTTCCTCCGTCCGCCGAGGCCACCACCAACTTGCCTCCCAACCAAGTTCAGTACCTCAAGAAATCTCTCGACCTGCTCCAGCAACCCGTGACCCGGATCCTCGGGTCGCTCCGACCCGACTGGATCTTCTACGACTTCGCCCAGTACTGGGCCAGGCCAATCGCGGCCCGGCTTGGAATCAAGAGCTCCTTCTTCTCCATCTGCATCCCCGCCTTTCTCAGATTCCTCGGCCCGCCGTCCGTCCTAATTGACGGCGGAGACTACCGGAAGAAGCCAGAGGACTTCACCGTCGCCCCCAATTGGGTCGACTTCCCCAGCACCGTCGCTTATACCTACTACGACATCAAGAACACCTTCGATTGCGTCGAGGACGACGCTTCCGGAGTCAACGATCTGATCCGAATCGGCCTCTCCGCTCGCAATTGCGACGTCGTGACGGTCCGGTCCTGCTCCGAGTTTGATTCCGATTGGCTCCGGCTTCTTGAGAACATCTACGAGAAGCCGGTCCTCCCCGTCGGCCAGCTCCCGCCGCCGCCTCCGCTGCGGCGTGGGGGTCAATCAAGGAGTGGCTCGACGAGCAGGGGAGCGGATCCGTGGTCTACGTGGCATTCGGGAGCGAGGCGAAACCGAGTCAGGACCAACTCACCGAGCTGGCACTAGGGATTGAAAATTCTGGGTTGCCGTTCTTCTGGGTGCTGAGGACCCGCCGGGGAGAATCCGACCCGGACGCGATCGAGCTACCGCCCGGGTTCGAGGAGCGGACGAGAGGGCGGGGGATCGTGTGCACGAGCTGAGCGCCTCAGCTGAGAATCCTGGGTCATGGCTCGGTGGGCGGGTTTCTGACTCATTCTGGTTGGAGCTCGGTGGTGGAGGCGCTGTCCCTCCGGCGGGCTCTTATTCTGCTGACGTTCTACTCCGACCAAGGGATCAACGCGAGGGTTCTGGAGGAGAGGGAGCTGGGGTATTGCATACCGAGGGACGAGTCGGATGGGTCGTTCACGCGAGACTCGCTGGCCGAGTCGCTGCGGGTTGTGATGGTGAGTGAGGAAGGGAAGGTTTATAGGGACAAGGCAAAGGAGATGAGCGGACTGTTTGGGGACAGGGGAAGGCAGAGCCGTTATGTAGACAACGTATTGGCTCATCTTTTTAATAAATGATCATAAAAACTAGCAATGGAGATGTTATCCATTGATTTCCTGCTGTGCTGTTAAGCATTTTAAATAATGAGATCTGATCACCGTTAACCAATTTCTCCATTGACTTTGATTTTTTGGAATGCTCCGACGAGTCATTGCTACGCCGAGGACTACCGTTCCGCTACCGGTGCTGTAAACCTTAGATCGTTGGATTTTGCAATTTAAGTTGGGATGATAATTTTGTTCAAATTCATGGGGATTTATAAATTAAATTAATTCAATTGGGTTTAAAAGTAAATTGATAGAGTTTAATGGTTTTTATGTATACACATTTATAATCTATTTGGGTTCAGTTGGGTTTTTAATCAATAGATTTGACTATTTGGGTTAGTACCCTATCCATAATCATATGCAAACTATAATTTGGTACCTAAACTTAATAAATGTTAAAATTAAACACTAATTTCATTTTTTGCATATAAATCCTCAAATATCAATGAAAAATTACATTTTAGCACCTAAACATTTGTGACTTACACTTTGACCAATTTTGTCACCTTTTCCCGTAATTGTCAAATCTCATTAGACTCCCTTGGTCAACGGGACCAAGCTTCAAAAAAAAAAAAAAAGTATGGCACGAGCCTACAATGGAATCAATAGAAAACTAAAGCAAAAAGCTATACAATAATGATGAGAGTGCAATGCCAAGAACATTTCGCCATGCTAACAAGAAGTCAAAGAACTGGTTCAAGCGTCCATCAACGATCAAACCATTAAAAGCTACCCAAGGAAGGAGCATGAAGTCGCCAGCCTCTGTGCACACATCAAGGAGTTGACCAAACAACTCAAGAAAGCTTCAATGGAGCCAAAGAATGGAATGGTGGCATCCATGTTCGTTTGTGAATCATGTGGAGAATAATTCCATGAAAGTTTCGATTGTTATAGACTTATAGCTAAGAAGGGGGAAGGACATATGTTAATGTCAACTTTATAAACCAAGGCTATCAATCGAGACCTCAACAAGGGAGTTATCCTCCTTATCAAAGATTCAACCAACCTCGCATATCTTTTGGTTAATGGCTTGTCCCAGGAGGAAAGAAGCCCGAGGACTACCCCAACATCACCTCTACCAATGCACATTATGAAGCACAGTGACAAAAGAAACAAAGTCCACCTAGATTTGGCAATCAACCTCAATATAATGTGCAAGGAGAAGTAGTCTCCAATCAGCAACCGACAAGATTCGAGAAGTTGGAGGCAACAATTATAGGATTGCAAATGAGCTACAAGAACATCGAAAGACAACTTGCACTCCTCATTGATGCTCAACCCCAAAAACCTCAAGGAAACCTCTCAAGCAACACACAGAACAATCCAAAAAAGAAGGAAGTCAAAGTCATTTTTGACAAGTATGGGAGCAACCAAAAGCTTCTCGAGCATTAAAAAGGAAGAAGAGAAGAAATGAACAGAGTATCCATTCCTCTTCAAATATCTTATAGAAGCTTTTTGAGGAGTAGAAGTGGCAGTGCCAATATTGAAGAAGATGATTTCAATGGAAGAACTTAAAGGGAAGCTCGAGATTTTCTTAGAAGAAGATGAAAGGGTTGAAGATAAGGAGACCATGATCAAGAAAGCCCCTTGAAGTTACAACGAATTCGTCCTAGTCAATTAAGCAAAGGAGGAACTTGGGCATTGCATCATCAAATGTCTTATGGATGACCATAACGTGGAAAAGGGTATGGTGACCTTGGCTCAAGCGTCAACATACTACCACTACATCTATATGAAGAGATGAGACTATCTAACATGGAGTATGTCAATCAGTCAATTTAGAGATCACACTAGCCAACAACCCCCCTTGTAGAGTTCTTGGAGTTGCTAAAGGCTTAAGCACCCAAGTTGGCGGGCTCATTTTCCACCCCGACTACTTCGTGATTGACATAGAGATAAGCTAAGAGTATTCAATCCTCGTTGGAAGGCCATTCCTTGCCACTGCTGGAATAAGAATTGAACGAAGAAGTAACTTTACATGTGAGAAAGCTACTGTACAAAGTGGAGAAGCCAATCAAAAGAAGTGATAAACTCGAGGAGTATGCAGAGGAGGATCCAAAAAATGAGATCAAATTTTGATTTGATTCTCTATTCAAGGATTTGGCAAACATAATATTTCATCACCATGATCAAGACCCAAAGTATAGAGGCGAGTTGAAGGAGGTTCTACCAATTCTTGATATGAACCTAGCCAAATGGCACTTAGGATATCCAGTACAAGGCAAAAACTGATGCTAGAAAGAATCGAGGAGCTGGAGAATGGGGCATCAGAAGAGTATTAAGAGTTCATCAATCGTCATCAACCTATCGACATCAACAACGAACCAATCCTTGCAACGAGATGGGAAGATGAAGATGACGTGGATCTTGATCGTGAAATCAACTAAAAGGGAGCCTCGCTGAGGCTAGCTCAAAATCATAACAGAGTGAGCACTCCATGGGAGACAACCCATATTTGACGTCAACTTAATGATGATTAGTGATGGCAATGGGGCGGGGCGGGTAATACCTGCACGGGTACTAGGCAGGGCGGGTCGACCCACTCTTACATGTTATATGAAAACATACGGGCAAAATTTCATTTTTACGATAAACGAAGGGGGAATTACTTTATGTATGAAAAAAGTGATAATATAATGGGTAATTAAGTCTAACTAGTTGAAAGATCGAGTCTAACTAGTTGAAGAAAAGTTAAAATATGAGAAATATGAATAGATATGGTAAGTATTTGAGGTAAAATAGGCCAAGAACAGGGTGGGGTGGTTAGGGTGGGTCAGAAGTAGATACCCATGCCCCGCCCCACGCTACTCCGAGTCGGGTAATACATGCCCCATCACGGGTCAGGTCGGGTAAGACACGCGGGGCAGGTTCTAATTGCTATCACTAATGACGATAAACAAAAGTGCTACCGAGGAGACAACCTGTATTCCTCTTTCCTAGATTAATTTTAAATTTCAAAATTTGGATTTGGCTTGAAATTTTGAGTTACTCATTGGAGGAAATTAATGTATCTCTGGATATGTGTTACATTCGGAGCAAAATTTTGAACATATGACGAGAAAGAAGGATTTGACTCATGTAAGAATGCGCGTACAGTACCAAAAGGGTTATTCATATTCAAGCAAGTTTCAAAAATACTATTGTGACCATTACAGATGTACATGGATGGGTGATCCCTTGGTCTTCCGCGGGCACTTGTGATGACGTGAAAAATAGTACAAAATCAACTTTTGTTTTACCGAGGTAAGTGTTCTAACGAAAACAATGATGGAAACCGGTGCAGAATGCAAAGGGAAGCAGCGGCGGTTTGACCCCCCGTACCCCCAATGCTGCCATTAGACCTATAAAAACTCTCATTTTGGCCACCATCACCTCACAACCCCTCATATTCAATTTAATTCCTCTCTTAGCCAAAAATCCTCTCCCTTTTCTTAGGTTTCAAATTTTCTCTAAAATTCTTCAACTTTCAATCACCAAATCCACCTCCAAAAATCAAAATTTATCCTCAAATTTGAGATACAACCTATCCATCACCAAACAAATAAACACCTAACAAACAATACTCCAAAAACTCACTAGAGAAGCTCATCCGGCTAGACCAGTCGTGCCACCACCACATCTTTCTCTTCTATTTTTCTGCACTTCTCATCAATCCAAGTAATTACCCATGATCTATAGATGAGTTTAGGAGCTTGAATTATGAGTTTAGGACTTCACTTAAGGTTGATCATTTAAAATTGCTTGAGTTATGTAGGGATTTCTCCAAACGAAAAACCAAACGAGGATATAGACTTTGAAGTTAGTCCTCGTGTTAAGCATACAATCGCATCAACGATAAACCAAATGAAAGAACAAAGCTGAAAAATATAGAAATCATATCATATATATGCGAAAATCAAAGAGTTACTAAGTCAAAAAACCTCTAGGGTTCACATACCTATGCAACTAAAGGAACTAGCCGGACATGAGGATGGGTTCCTGAGCTATCATCGAAATGACGTCACCAGAGAACCTCTAAACTCGGAGGCCACATTAAATTGGGGTTTGGGCTTCCAACTTTGCCACCGGTTTTCCTCAGTCGGTGAGTCACTCTGTCGACAGAGTAACAACCCACTTTTGCCTCCTATCACTGGCTACCGAGTTCTAAACCCCAAGCATGTATTTAAAGGACTTTGGGTCAGATTTTCTAGGAGGAAAAATTGGCATTTAAAGCGTTTTCTGATTTTTCACGAAGCTTACTTGACGTAGCCACCATGCCAGGACGCATCTGGACAACTTTCCATTCCGTTCCGTCGATTTTGGGCCTTGTCTACTTCAGACTGCTAACTTGTCTAAGCCGTTTCTCCCTCGTATGAACTCCAAATTAGGCCTTGTTTGATCCTGGATGCTTGAATTATCGTCCTCTTTTATCTCATGGTTATCCCCTTTGGCTAACAAGTGGTCCACTAGCCTACTTAGATTTCAAAATGCTCAATACGCTACCAAAAGCTTATCTGCCGTATAAAAGCAATCCTATGGTTGCTAGAACACACTTGTAATAATAATTATGGAAAATGTATGCACTATAGGTCCCAATATGCGAGTCTATAATAGATACTTTTACGAGTCATCATCCACCTAGTCCCTCTCTAGAGATTGATTTTTACATGATTCTCATGTGGCGCCCTATGGTGTTGTTATTCTTGACATCTCTTGATAAGTTTGTGATGAAAGAGTGACCCTTTTAACTTATTCCACTACAATCAAAGAGGAAACAAAAGCTCTGTGTGTAACCCTGAAGTTTGCTAAGGATCATGACCTCATGTTTAAAGGGTCACTCTTTCATTGATAAAGGTCGTCTATCAACCCCGTCATGTGTAGCCTTTGAGAAGCTCTTCTTTGCTTGTCCACATTTCAGATATCCTATAATATTGTCCGTTATTTGTCAATGTTTTCACCACGTGGAAGCAAATTTTTTTTATGGTAACTTGTGCGTGGAAGCAAATTTCGGGAGCCGATGCGCTACTCATTTGACTTTGTGGATATAAATAGATTAAAAACTCAGGAAATGAA